CTATTGATAATATTCACTATGATCGTCGATGTCGATGCTTGTTATTGCGACTAACTGCCTTATAGAGCCTCGTTTATATTTTATATTCAAGGATTGAGTCTTTCGTCATTTCTATAGATGACATTCTCATAGGAGATGCCATCTTCTTTTAGAAATGTCCTTTTAAAAGAGTTCGGTGATTCAGCGTAGCACCACTGATGATATACCTGCTGGGTTGAAACAGCATTGTCTGGTGTTGAATCACTAGCTCTTCTATTAGGTTTTTGTTAATTCGAAGTTGTTATATCATTAAAACATCACTTGTTACGGGATTGTGGAATCTTACGATACCTACTTACCTGACGGAGACTTCCCGGAATAGCTTGTTCGATTTTCTACCACTTGGTGCACTATTATCTTTGTACAATTCAAACTTTCTTCGAAAAACAAGGTGTCTGTAGAGTAGGGAGGGTGAGTGTAGGCCCACAGCACTTAGGTCACATGTGGCCCACTGTACATCCTCCCGAGGAGTTGTCCTTCTAAGTTATCGTCCATCTTGTCCTTTCCAGGAAGGTGGACAGGTCACTAGGAGATATCTCCTTCATATCGGCAGGTGTAGGCCAAGACTCGCCGAACACACACTCTCTTATTGACGATAACTCCGGACACTCGCATAGGAGATGCCTGACAGTTTCATCTTCCTATTCACACATCCTGCATAGAGGTGTGTCCACAAGCCCCATATCATGGAGGTGTTTCCTCAGTTGATAGTGGCCAGTCAGAAATCAGGGTAGTACCAAGGTATTTCACCTCTTCAAAGAAGTTCAGTTCGCTTCTGAAGATTTAGGGAAGTGTAAAGTCCGATAAACTTCTTTTCCTGGTGAAAAGGACCATCTCAGTCTTCTTGGGATTGATCGACAGTGAGTGTTCCTCACACCATGTTTCTATCAATTTGAGCCCACCCTGCGCTCTATCGCACATTGTGTTCACAAATTTGCTGGTCTGCAAGATAGCTATGTCATCTGCATATGCATATCTGCATATGGATAGAATCCATTACTGTTGAGGTGTTCAATCAGAGTATCCAGAAGTATGTTCTGAAGGAGGAGCGATGAGACCCCTCCCTGTGGACATCTCCTCATGACCAGTCCTCTTACTGTGATGTCTTCTACATTAATACTTATTGCTATACTAGAGATCATCTTGAGTATCCATTCTCTTACTAACAGAGGTACATTCGTGGAGTGTAGTTGCTGGGTAATTATTGAGGAGGTTGTTTTGTCAAAAGCTTCCTCGATATCTATGAATATACCCAGGGTGAATTCATTGTTGTCCAATGATCTTCCGATTCTGCCAACCACATAGTGAAGGACCGAATCAGTAGACCTTCCCGGAGTATATGCATGCTGATTTGGATGATGAGGGTTGTCAACTAGTACTTCATCTCTTATGAACTGAACACATAGCCTCTCTATAGTTCTTGAAAAGAACTATGTGAGACTAACTGGTCGGAATGCTTTTGGAAAGGTGTAGTCCATTCTACCTGGTTTGGGTATAAATACCGCTCATACTTTTCTCCACTCAGTGGGAATATTGTTGCAGAATGAAGATTGTTCCTTTATGATGGATGATCCCACTGAATATAACTATGTTGTAGTTGTTATTTGAAAACATTCGAGTTTGTTTACTTGTCAAAATGTACGTTCCAAAAAAGTCATCAAGTCATCAAGTCAAAAGTCATCAATTGTATTCAATGTTATACAAATTGTATCAGGTTATGGGCCCAGAATTGCAAATTAGAACATTTCTGTTGTTCTTATACTGCAATTAGAAAGCATAATGAGTTAGATATATCGGTTCCTGATAAAATGTCCACATCAAATACTGCCGTCTCAGCCTCTTTCGAAAAACTCGAGGGTAGTGAAAATTATATTGACTGGAAGTATGCTATGGACATTCATCTCATCAATTGCGTACTGTTGAAATATGTAGATGGAACAAAAGATGACAAAGAAGCCGGTTTTGAAGGTAAAAGTAAACGAGCACTTGCATCCATAGTGTCTGGTGTGAAAACTCATATCTACACTGAACAAAGCGAATTGAAAACAGGCAAAGAAGTTTGGGATCGCTTAGCTAATCTTTGAACCCAAAGTATTTTCAAGAGTTGCTGATCTAATCGAACAATTGATAATGATAAAGTACAATGACTGTAGAGGCATGGATGATTACCTTTATAAAAATGTAAAGTTAGCTCAACAACTTTAAGCAATCGACCACGAAATAAAAGATGGTGTCTTAGCTGCACTTATCTTTGTGAGTTTTCCGAATTATTACAAACTATTATTCATGGCTTTGGAAAATTGTGGTGCTCAACTTACAACAGACTTGGTGAAAGAACGTCTTTCTGCAGAAGCATGATGAAGTACAATGACTGTAGAGGCATGAATGATTACCCTAATAAAAATGTAAAGTCAGCTCAACAACTCAAAGCAATCGACCATGAAATAAAAGATGGTGTCTAAGCTGCACTTATCTTTGTAAGTTTTCCGGATTATTACAAACTATTATTCATGGCTTTGGAAAATTGTGGTGCTCAACTTACAACAGACTTAGTGAAAGAACGTCTTTCTGCAGAAGCATGATGAAGTACAATGACTGTAGAGGCATGGATGATTACCTTAATAAAAATGTAAAGTCAGCTCAACAACTTAAAGCAATCGACCACGAAATAAAAGATGGTGTCTTAGCTGCACTTATCTTTGTAAGTTTTCCGGATTATTACAAACTATTATTCATGGCTTTGGAAAATTGTGGTGCTCAACTTACAACAAACTTGGTGAAAGAACGTCTTTCTGCAGAAGCAGTCAAATTTGAAAACAGCAAGAAAGAACCCGCCTTTCTAATGAAGAAAGGACCCGTTAAAAAAATGTTCAAGGGAAAATATTACATCTGTCATAGAGTAGGTCATCTGTCAAAAGACTGTAGATACTCGAAAAGAAGTGAAAAGACGAATGTAGCTCACGCTAACGAATCCGGTTTGATTATACATTCTTCAGTCCTTGGTATTGGAAATCTCAACCCAAATGACTGGTATATTGATTCAGGAGCATCTGTTCACGTTTCTGGCAGAAAACCTTAATTCAGTTGAAAATAAAAATTTAATAGTTACTGCATCTGGAGAGAAGTTTGATATAGAAGAAAATGGTGAAACTACTGTCCTTTTGAATGTCAATAGATATAAAGTCAAAACCCCAATCCGTGACATAAGTTATGCACCTGGACTTGAATTCAATTTAATTTCATGCCGACAGTTAGGAAGAAAAGAATAAAAACTACCTTTGATAATGACAAATGTCAAATATCAAACACTTCTACAGGAAAAGTTATAGCAGTTGCAAATTTAACTGGAAGTGGGCTTTATAAATTGGATGGCATACACCAACGTGAAGAAATGATGTGTTATACACTATCACAAAAATGTGATATGATATTTGGCACCGAAGACTAGGACATTTGAGTGCTGGTGGTATGAAGTTACGACAAGATGGATTTGCCGAAGGTCTCTGTTTTGATAAACGCCACAGTGAAAAATTGTGTGACAGTTGTATTCAAGGAAAACCATTTCCGAAAGGTAAGGCTATAAGAGCCAATAAAAAATTGGAACTCCTCCATTCGGATATTTGCGGACCGATTTCAGAAAAATCAATTGGGAAAAAATTATACTTTCTCACATTTACTAATGATTTTGTCCGAAAANTTGGTGAAGCCAGTTACTGTCTGGGTATTCATATCACAAGAAACAGACAGTCTGGGCAAATATTTTTGGATCAGGAAGCTTATATTAACCAAATTTTGCAGAAATTCAGCATGACTGAGTGCAAACCAGTTTCAACCCCTTTGGGAGTTGGCAAAAAACCTAGCTTGTTCATATGTCCTTCAAATGAGAAAAGGAGATGATGAAGAATGTGCCAAACCAGATGGCTATTGGAAGTTAATTAGATGCTGCTCAATCTACTAGACCTGATATAGCATGGGGGCTCTGAGCAAATTCAACTCAAACCCAGGACCAGAACATTGGACAGCTGCCAAAAGAATTTTTATATATCTTCAAGGTATGAAAAATATGAAACTCATTTATTCGAGCGGTAAAGCTACTAGAATACATGGTTATTCCGATGCTGATTATGCAGATGACAGAGATGATAAGAAATCAACCAGTGGATATATTTTCAAATTCGCAAATGGCGTGATCAGCTCGTTAAGTAAAAAACAACAAACCGTTTCAAGATCTACAACTGAAGCGCAGTATGTTGCGCCCTCTCATGCAACACAAGAAGCTCAGTGGTTACATCAAATTATTGAAGAAATTCAACTAACTGAGACAAAGTATCCAATCACTATATATTGTGATAACAAGAGTGCGATAGATCTGTCGAAAAATGCTTCTCATCACGCTAGAACTAAATATATTGATGTTCAGCACCATTTTGTCAGAGAAGCTGTCAGAAATAAAAAAAATTATCGTCACGAAAGTTTCCACCGAGAAAATGGTTGCAGATTCTTTAACAAAAGCAGTCAACAGAAAAAAAACGAGTGGTGCAGATATCACATGGGGATTTCTACTTCTGTATTGGGCTCCTCATCAGAAGGAGCAGAATGAAGATTGTTCCTTTATGATGGATGAGCGCCCACTGTATATAACTATGTTGTAGTTGTTATTTAAAAACATTCGAGTTTACTTGTCAAAATATACGTTCCAAAAAAGTTATCAAGGATATTTAATTATATTCAATCTTATACAAGAGCTAGAGAGGCTCTGAATATTCCAATCAGGTGCGGCATAAGAATATCTAATCCCCATTGAAGTATGGCTGATCTTATACTGTCAGCTCCTGGTGACTTGAAGGGGGAAAAGCCCGATATGGCCCATCTTATCATGTCCTCATCAATTACTGCACTAGCAGATTGCCAGTCGTTTTGTGAGGGTGTTGTTGGTACTTCCGTCCAGTTCGTCATAATTGACCTAATTCCAGTCACTCAAAGCATATCGTTAGATGATCATATGCGTGAATTAGTACCAGAACTACTTTCAAATCTCAGCCATTCAGCCCCTTCTTTGAGAAAAAGTGCACTAGATTCACTTCGGAAGTATCTGCAACACAGTAGGAACTATGATGAATTGTTGATGAAGCTCATGTCTACAACTGAAAACAATATTATTGCAGCAGCGCCATTCTTGATAAGCACCGAAACTGGGGATGAAACATTGAGACATATCATAAATCTGTTATGGAAAGATTGGAGAAATCCACGGTTGAACCAAGAAGTTACTGCGAAATCTCTTAGTAGAATACGGTGGGTGAGCGATTTTCATAATTTTGTGCACCACCCTCTGTGTTATTGCTGATGATATTCACGTGTTTTTTTCAGGTATACTTTGGGTGATGATAAATTCAAAATACTTGTTGGAACTGAAAGGTTCAATGAGATTCGGGAAATATGTGAGAACTTCGGGCTACCAGTTACTTATGGTGATAATGGTATTGAAATAATGTCATTCAATGGCGATGATGAAATAGAAGATAAAGTTATTTTAGAAACAGAAATAACATTGAAAACTGGACCCGCAATTACGATGAAAATACATGAAGAGAGTAGATATAATAATGAAGAAATCGCCGCGTGAGTATACAATTCTTTTGAAGTATATCAATTTCAAAAAACAACAATTTAGAAAAAAGTTGGTTCATTGAACCATATCTGTTGAAATTACTTGATACTGGTCTCATATTGGTAAATTATTATTTCTCAATAGTTGTAGATATTTTGTCGGGTTCAATTTACCATCAACAAAAAATTATTTGATTATACTGCAACAAATAATTCTGTCCAAATTTAGCATTTTGAGTCTGAATTGCTAGGTAGAACATCATAAGTTTTTTTTGCCTAATATCTGTATTCGTTTCTAGTGATATGCTTCACAAAATTTTAGTATATTTTCAAAATAAAAAAAAAAATACTATACATCAAGAATTAACGTACAGTGCATTTCGTCCTATAGCTGAACAAATTTCCATTTTTGTTCCTGTTGATATATCTGGAAAAGCCTTCTATCAGGAACTTTGAACAACCTCTGTTCATTAACTTTCTTCAGTATCTCAACATTTTGAAGCGATCCAAGAAATTCCTATCCGTATATATTGTAACGAATCTGAAGCCGGACCTGACCAATATGTTGACCAGCGAACAAACACATGATATCACCGCAAAAGGAATGCAGTCGGCAACTACCTATTAAAATCTAGTTGAGTCCCGAAACTACTATAGAAATCTAGAGCGATCGTTACGGATATACAGTGAACAATTGGTCGGTCGGTCGGTAGCCAAGCGGTTCGGCGTGGGTGCTTTGTTCACTCACTCGAATTGACTGCCGTGTTGGTCGGTGGTTCAAGCCCTAGTCTGAACGATCGATCATCACTTACTATCTTCCAATCCGTGTTAGGACTCACACGTTGAAAGGTAAGACCTCGTTAATCTTTAGCTCGCACAAGTTTCGACTTCTGAGGGTTGTCGTTCGTAGGGGTGCTACAGCTGGTTAACGGAAAGAACATATTTTTGACAGATTTTAAACAGATTTCAAACAGAAGTGGATTTTTAAAATAAATTAGTGAGCGTTTGGTGGACAATCTTTGTATTACGGTGAAATTGACTATAAAACTTTCGTGGACCGTACCGGACTACGGAAACATAAACTGATAGACCTTTCTCGCGAAAAATAGACTTGTGAAAGTAAATAAGTGTTTCGGACTCGATTAAAATAAATATACATATTCAGTTTTGTGGAAAATAGACAATAAGATACAAAATGTGTTCGAGGAAAGTGCGCCTAGTGGACTTGAAAGTGGCTGAATTGAAGCAAAAATTGGAGGAGAGGGAGCTAGATTGTTCCGGAAAGAAATCAGTACTACAGAAGAGACTGTGGGATAACTTGACTGAATCAGGAGAAGATCCCGAAAAATATTTATTCGAAGTTTCTGGGGGTGATTTGAGTTCAATAATGGGCAAACTCGATGGTAGGATAGTAACCATCGAGACAGATATAAATAAAATCAAGAAGGCAATGAACACAGAAGTAGAGGAAATCAAAGGCGGAGTTCAGGTAGAACTCAGTAAGATAAAGGAAACAATTAGCGAGTTGCAAAACCACATTGTTAATTCCGCCCACACCACAGAAACTGTCACCGAAAGCTCAATCCTGGAACTGAGTTTCAACATGGAAAAACTTCATAAGGCAATGAAAGATGTCAAAGTCAGTTCTGAACCAGGAAAGCTCTCCATAAAGCCGCCCCAGTTCGACGGAAAAACTCCTTGGGCAAATAACCGCCGACAATTCGAAGCTGCTACCAGAGCAAATGGATGGAATGCAGGAGAAAAGGCGGTAGCATTAACACTGGCGTTGCGTGGAGAAGCAACGAATATTTTGCAAACCCTCACGGCCCAGGAACAGGAAGACTAAGACCAACTTATAAAGCATCTTGAGCTGCGGTATGGGCAGGCCCACTTAGAGCACTTTTACCATTCACAGCTGAAGAACTGCTGCAAGATATCAGGAAAATCCCTACAGGAATTTGAATCCGACATAGCTCGGTTGGTTCGTCTGGCATATCCTGCTAAACCGGAAAATTTAATGGAGCGGTTAGCAGTTCAGGCATTCTTGGACGGACTTCTCAACCAAGAAACGAGGCAGGCCTTGACACTATCTCATCCCAACATCTCGTGGATGCACTGGCAACCGCTCTGGAGTTTGAGGCTGCAAAACAATCCTGCAAGAGTCAGAGCAAAGTTCGAGCTATCGAGGAAGATAGACAGGTGCCTGTTGATATTGAGGCCACAATCAGAAAGGTATTAAAAGAAATGTTGCCTGTGAGAAAACAAATAACATGCTGAAACTGTGGGAAAATTGGGCATGTGCGTAGCAAATGCCCAGCATTCAAAGAATCAACAACAAATCAGGAAAACAAGAGGGGGTCGATGAAATGAGGCAATCGTCGGCCTGAACTCAGCAAGCCCCCGTAAAAAACGCATATATTGCCATTCTCCAACGACAAGACGAAGGCGTTTTCGTTGACGGCTTCATCAACAATGAGCCTTGCACCGTGCTGCTAGACACAGGTGCGACGAGAACCATTCTTGGGACAACCTTTGCCAAAACACCGGCAAGAATTGAACCGTCAAGTTGGAAGCTACGCACCGCAACAGGGGAGCCAGCCACTGTACTTGGAGAACTATCAATTGAATTAGTGTTGGGCAGCAGTAAATTGAACCATCGTGCATTATTGGAATGGACATAATGAATTCCAGAGGGTTCGAGCTGCATTTTCAAGATGGCGTCCTACGTGTCGGCGGAGAAGAGCTGGTGCTTCATGGAAGAAGCGAAGAGATGATCAGGTTCCTGCTGGCTGAGAGGGCTGAAACTATCCTGGAGGCTCGCTTGAACGGAAATGTGAGCAACGAAAATGTGGTAATGTTCGAGCCCAAGATATATGTCGAGAAAATTGGACGTGGAATCGCACTGGGGAAAACCCTGTTGCGTGTTGATAAAGTTGTGCCAGTTAGGGTCATGAATGTCAACTACTTTCCCATGACCTTGAATGAAGGAACATTGCTGGGGCACTGTTCGTCGATTTCCTCTGTGATACGGAGTGTTCGCAGTTCGGTTAGCCAAGCCAACAACTTGCCTAGAGAGTTGGAGAAGTTGATTGACATTTCCCCCAAGGACATGCCACCAACTCACCAATCAAAATTGAGGTAGTTAGTCAAGAAGTACCAGGAGATCTTCGATATTGGAGAAGGAAAAGGCGGCAGAACGAATGTGGTTCAGCATAGAATCGACACTAGGAATGCTCGACCAATCCGGCAATCAGCTAGAAGACTCCCTCTTGCCAAGAAAAAAGAGGCAGACAAGATAGTTAGCGATTTGGAAAAAGAAGGGGTCATCGAATCTTCTGACAGCCTAGACACGCTGGCTGGTTCCACGATTTTCTCGACTTTGGATTTGAAAAGTGGATATTTGCAAGTTGAATTGGCCCCAGAAGATCGAGAAAAGACAGCTTTCACCATCGGCTCAGGATTGTGGCAGTTCACTGTTCGGGCATTATAATGCTTCAGCGACCTTCGAGAGATTGATGGAGACGGTTGTCAAGCGACTCATATGGAAGACGTTTCTAGTGTATCTCGATGATATAATCGTGGTCGGGAAATCGTTCGATGTTCATTCAAAAAATCTGAAGGAGGTATTCATGCATCTGAGGAGTTTTGGATTGAAACTTAGTCCCAAGAAATGCCATCTGTTCCAGAAAGAAGTCCGTTACCTTGGCCACGTTGTCTCTGGGGAATGAGTGGCGGTAGACGAACAAAAGATCAAAGCAGTTGAGGAATGGCCCATTCCAAAAGACATACATCAGCTTCGGAGCTTTCTTGATTTGTGCACCTACTATCGCAGATATGTGCTGCCGTTCGTATGGGGGCGGCAGCTGATTAACGGAAAAACAGATTTTAAAACAGATTTTTTTTAAAATCGCCAAACCATTGACCCGACTTACAGAAGGGCAGATCCAGTTCCAGTGGTCCGAGGAATACCAAGACTCATACAAAAAGTTGAAAAGAGCTTGATCAACGCTCCTGTTTTGAGCTATCCCCTACCGGACGGAAAGTTTATTTAAGATACGGACGCCAGCAACGTGGGACTTGGATCAGTCCTTTCCCAGATCCAGGATGAACAGGACGAAGTTATTGTCTACTTCAGCGAAACGCTCAGTAAACCAGAGCGCAATTATTGTGTCACCAGACGAGAGCTGTTGGCCGTTGTCAAAGGTGTAGAGCATTTCTACAAATACGTGTATGGAAAAAAATTTCTGTTGAGAACGGACCATGCAGCTCTCAAATGGCGTCTGCAGTTCAAAAATTCCGAGGGCCAAGTAGCGCGCTGGATTGAGAGACTTCAAGAATTTGACTTCGAAATAGAACATCGAGCTGGGACTAGCAATAAAAACGCAGATGCCCTGTCACGGAGACCATGCCCCGATGACTGCTCACATTGTCGACGAGCAGAAGAGAAGGAAGCAGCTATTTGTAGAACTACAGCTGTATACGACAACTGGGAGGACAATAAGATCAAGGAATACTAAGAAAAAATTTCGGTTTTTGTTTTGTTCTCGGGTTGCAAAAAAAGTAATCAAAGACCATCGTGGCATGAGGTTGCAGGTTATTCGCCAGCGGTAAAGTCCTACTGGGCCCAATGGAACCTTACTTTGGAAAACGGGGTTCTGAAGCGGGTGTTGGAGTCTGAAGACGGTGGAGAAAAAAGACGTCAAACAGTGGTACTCAGGAACAGACTATGCGAGGTGCTCAAAGGAATCCATGATGGAGTCACTGGAGGACATCTGGGAGTAACGAAGGCCCTCCAGAAAGTAAGAGAACGTTTTTACTGGGTTAATTGTCAAGCTGACGTCAAGGACCTCGGATACGACTGAAAGCTCCAATGCGCCAGTATAACGTGGGTAGTCCCTGTGAGAGAATCTCCATCGATATCGCCGGCCCGTTCCCGGAGTCCGATTGTGGGAACAAATATATCCTGGTAGCCATGGACTACTTCAGTAAGTGGGCAGAAGCCTATGCCCTGCTCAACAAGGAAGCCCAACCAGGAAGCCTTTACTGTCGCTGACGTCCTTGTGAAGGAATGGATATGTCGATTCGATGTCACATTGCAGCTGCATTCGGACCAGGGCAGAAATTGCAAGTATAACCTGTTTCAAGAAATATCTGAACTGTTGGACATTCGAAAGATCAGAACCACAGCTTTACATCCAGAGTCCGATGGAATTGTGGAACGAATGAATAAGACCATAAACCGCCACTTGTCCAAGGTAGTCTCTGACCATCAAAGAGACTGGGACCAGTACCTCCACCTATTCCTGTTGATCTATCGTTCGGCAGTGCATGAGTCAACCGGCTAAGCCCCTGCCAGTATTATAATGGGGCGAGAGCTGCGGCTTCTTTGCGATCTGAAATTTGGGACGCCGCCAGATCAAGACACAGCGGGGGAAGACTATGTCAAAAGGCTTCGGTAGAGGATGGACGACATCCAAGAACGAGTTCGTTTGAACATCCGGATTGCCAACGATAGGATGCCGATAGAATGCCTATGACATCAAGGCGAATGTTGGAGGATTCGAAACCGGTGACCTAGTTTGGCTATTCAACCCTAAGCGACGCCGTGGTTTATCACCGAATTTGCGGAACTCGTGGGAAGGTCCGTACAAAATCATGAAAAAGATTAATGACCTCGTCTACCGAATCTATAAGCTACCTCGAGGAAAGCCTAGGGTCGTCCATTTTAATAGATTTGCTCCTTATGCAGGAAATCACTATTAAGTTCGCGCTCTCAGACCACTAGAGGATGAAATGACGTTCCAGAAGTTCATGTCTTTATACTCGAACGGACAGAAGGTCGTACATGGGGTAAGTCAAAGAGAGTCATGAGACCTTTTCAAGGTTCCAGTTGAATACGCAATAGCTCACTGCGTGGCGGAGGATCTCCAAATGTCCAGGGGTATCGCTGTGGTATTCAACAAGAAATTTGGTCAGCTCCAAATATTACGAAAACAGAATCCTGAAGTCGGAGGAGTGCTACAGTTGAAGAAGGGTCAGAGAAACGTCTTCTACTTGGTGACCAAAAGGCATTTTCGTGACGAACAGTCCTATGAAGATGTCTGGAGGAGCCTTACCAGATTGGCGACACGATGCTCGACCAGAATTTCGTGGACTTGGCAATCCTGAAAATAGCCTCTGGGCTCTACAGGAATTCAAATAGTGGAAATAAATTAAGCGTTAGTTGCTAAGTATTGAATATACATTAGTTTGTAATTGTGAAATATTGTTAGAAATGAATTCGTTTAAGAAATTTAATTCTTTATTTCGTTACAGTATGTTGTTACCATATCTCAATTCTAAATTTTGATTCTATTTTTTTTCATTATAGTAGGTATTCTATAACTCAAAACACTATTGATTAGATTCGACATATTTCGACATATTTGACAGTTAACTTCTGATAAAAATTATTTATTTGTGGTTTTTCAAATATTTTCAAGAATCACTGAGTACTGAGTGGACCAACAATTGAAAAAAAAATGATGAATTAGAAATGCAAATGAGGGTGAAATTTTCTAAGAATCTCAAACTTTCACATTACCTACAGATATTTTGATTAGTCGTATTTGATGAAATTTCACAAAATTTCTGAGATATTGAAATTGTTCCATTAATATACTTCTCATCGTATATTTTACGCGCTCATAGTTTTTATAATCAGGAAATTTTCATAGATGAGCTAATTGATCTAATGATGCTTATGTCGCCTTTATTTTCAGCCAAAACATGGGAGTTCTTGAGATTTTAGAGGATGACAGCATGAATGATTTTTATGAAAACGTAAGGAAGACTCCCAGAAAAGTACGTTTCGGGGGGGAATCGGTGAAATTACGTACTCCAGAAAGTGACAGCAGTCATCATGAGGATTACAACGGAACAATTCGAATTACAGTTACTGATGCAATTTCTATCAAAACAAAACGAAGTCTAATTCCGATAAGAGTAACTTCATTGCCGTCAACTCCTACGAAGAATCGTCTTCCATCCTCTACCAATCATAAATTACATAAATCTGCTCCAAATTTGAATAGAAGTAATTCTAATTCAAAAATACCTCTAAAGAAGAATTCTACTGTTGCTGATAAGTTCAATTCAACATCTGGAAATAAAAACGGTAGGTAAGATACCGTTAGGCGATTCCTTCAAGTCTATATTGTTTTTAACAAATTCATATTTTTTACATAATCAGTTACTTTTTATATTTGACTTGAAAAACAAATAATTGAATGATTTAATAATATATCTAGTTCTCAAAAAATTATGACATAAAATGAAGGAGAAATTCTATCAAATGGCATTGTAGCCACTCCATTTTGATGGTGAACAAAATAAAACAACTTACCAAACATATTTTTGAGTCAATGATTGTATTTCAGTTGTGATATAAATGAAGTTATTGGAGAAGTGAATGTTTGACACCAATAAAATCATTTGTTGTATTGTAAATACGCGACTCCTCATTCGATGCCATAACACACATTTTTATTACAGGTAGACCAAGAAATGATGCTCGTGAACATCTCGTTAATGAAGTGGATAACTATAATTCAGTTTCGTCTAATAGATCAAGAGAAGGTATAAGTCCCATTTCCCCTCATAGAGAAATTGAAGTCTTCCATAACTTAACAAGAAGTCCCGAAAGACTCAGAAAACCCACTATTCAAGCTCTAAACATTCATCCTGTAATCAAAATGGAAACTGATGACTCCCCCAATGAGAATGCTTGCGATAATTCATCCGTATTGTCTGAATCTCATGAAATAGCTCGGAATACAAAAATTATGGAATCAAAAAATACTCTAGATGACGAACTAGTATTCAAGACTGAAAGTTACAATAAAGCAAACAACAGCTTTCAAGTTTGTCCTGAAACATTTAAGTCAACATTGCCAACTACACCATCAATTGTAAAAACTGGAGAGTCTGAAAATGACATGATTTCAAATATTCCGCTGAAATTTTCCAAAGATAATTATAAAATTTCTTCTGGTTTTCATAACAGGAGATGTGATGAGAACGAATCTTCGAACAATGTTGTCCCCCTTCAGCAAAGTGATGCAAAGGAATGCGCAATGAGTGCAGAAATATCAGAAAATGTGTTTGTATATGACAGCTTCCAAGTGTTTCCATACATAAATAGGGCAGAGGACAGGTCACGTCTCAGGTCGCCTACCAGAATTGAGCTTCCGTTGATCAAGAATTCAGAAATGAGAAAGGAGTGGATAATAACTTCAATAGTAAAAGAGGTAGGAACTTTTTATCCACACGTTCATGTATAAAAAAACCTCCATTATAATTGAAATTATTCATTTGATAATTAGGTAATGATTGCTGTCTGCAAATGGAATATACTTGTGGAAATTGAGAACCATAGACATGAACATAAACCATAAACAATGATTTTTAAATATTTAGTATAACAATAAATTTTTTTGAACGGGGTTTTCTCATTCAATAACTCATATTACTATCTATTGTCTGTCGCTATATTCGCTACATTAATATTGAATCTGTAGAATTTTAGTTACTACCAAAATAGCAAAACTGGATAGACAACGTATAACTGAAATCTGAAAGATTTGGTAAAATACCCTTGAAATCAGTACATTTTTGTATTGTATCCAACAATAAACCGGTAATCTGTCATAACAAAGAAATATATAAAGGGTTCCATGTGTGCTAAAGATTGAGCATTTATTGATGGGATATTTTTCAAATTTAGGCGAGTTTTTAGAGTAAATAAAGTTTTTATGCTGATAGTTGAGAATTGGATTGTTGATGTTTTTTGTATATTAAATCCTAGTTTTTCTGGGTGGTACCAAAATGTATTTCGGCTGAAGTAAGTTTCTTGTTTTGGATTGATATTGCACGATAAAAATATTTAGAGATCATACTTTGATCAGTTATTATTTTATACCAATATAGATAGCCCCAGGAAAAAATCTTCTCGAATGAGAAAATGGATGTGGATGTCGGTTGGGGGAAATAGTGAGTTATTGATATTGTTTAACGAAAAATTATATGAATTTAATCCATTTTGAGAATAATTAATTTATCGAATTATTTGGTCGGTCGGTAGCCAAGCGGTTCGGCGTGGGTGCTTTGTTCACTCACTCGAATTGACTGCCATGTTGGTCGATGGTTCAAGCCCTAGTCTGAACGATCGATCTTCACTTACTATCTTCCAACCCGTGTAAGGAATCACACGTTAAAAAGTACGACCTCGCTAATCCTTAGCTCGCACAAGTTTCGACTTCTGAGGGTTGTCGTTCGTAGGGGTGCGACAGCTGGTTAACGGAAAAAATAGATTTTTTTTAAACAGATTGAGAATGTGTTAGCTTTTATACAGGGATCTTGTTCACACAAACCTCCCCGGTCTTTGGGAAGTATGATTGTTTTCCTAACAACCCTCAGAGGTGAGTGATTCCAGAAAAACCAACCATACATTGAGGATAATTTTTTTTGCAAACAATATTGGTATGAGTAGTATTTGACTCAAAAATCATGTTTTCGATAGAGTGTTACAGTTATTGAATTGAGCACGTTGAAATATACTCATTTTTCGATATTTGTTCAATGGAACTCTTGCCTGTATAACCACTCAGACTGAATGTTCTGATTTTTTTTCCTTAACTTCTAGTTCTAGTATTTCACATTCGTTTCTGTTGATTTTTGATTCTGAAAAGGATATGAATACCCTCAATTTTCTACGACTGATGTGAGATTGTCTGCATATGCACATGTTCAAATTTTACTCTTAAGACGAATCAATGACGGTTCAATATGCAGTACAAAAGAACCGTTGATTACGCACCCCGCTGACGTACACCCAGCATTTATCCCGATAACTTGCGAAGTACATTTATTGCTATGAATAATAGAACTTGACTCAGCATATAAATTTTTTGAAGCGTTTGAAATTTTTTGCTATCCAATTTCATTGATATGAGGACTCCCCATGAACAATTGTGGTCGACTCTTATCAAACTCATGACCGAAATCAATACGATTCACAAGTTTATTAGTCGAGCATAAAATTTTCCTNTTTCGCTCCCTGTTATGTGAATTTTATCCTCATAAGGATTATTCTTACAACGTTTTGATGAAATCTCATTTGCTATCTTCTGGTGATGTCGGGAGTCTAGTTGAAAAACTCCAGTGTGTGTGTATGTTTTGTTCGATGTCTTTGCATTCCAGATAATGTTACCTTGGAAAGCGGTAAATGCAAAAAAAAAGCATTTTGCCACATTGATGTCAGCAAACACAATTTTCCAATTTTCATAAGACCCTGAATATTCAGGGCTGAATTGACTGTCTACTTAATTTTCATAGAAACACCAGTCACGAATGCCATACATGTAAATGTTGTGCTGAAAATTTCAGGTCATGGGAGAAAAACAATACAACGCTAAAGGAGCTATATCACCCCACTCTATAGTTATATTCATATTATGTGGGTTGGCCTACTTTTCTACTCGAATGAGGGAAATCAAGTCATGCCATTGCGATCGACCAGACTGACCTCTTAAATGTCCACTTCAGTTTCATACCAGTTTCAAGAAGTACGTGAAGATATATGTAGATTTTTTTGAGTCATTTAATCATTTCTATTTTCCAACATATGTATTATAGGAAAATATTTCCCTGAACCAAATAATTATTGGTAAAAAATTTCAGCTGGTTTCAGAGACATAAAGAAACATTAATATATTTTGTTACTTTCGTGTCTGGATATTTGTAAGAATATTGCGAATACATAAAATCGTAATAGTATAGGAGCTAGTAACGTTTTCGACAGAGAATTTCAGAACAGTTGGTTTTTTGATAAGCTGTCTTTCTTGCTCTTTCGGTTGGAGTCCGGGCTACCTGGCTGACGGTAGTGGTTGCATTTATTAATGCTCATATTACCTGCTTAGGTAAAAATCCTCAACTTCAAAATAATTTTTTAAATCGTAATTTTCAATTTTTGCCTTCAGATAGATCCACTAGATATCAATTTTTTATTGCCAGGCATTTTCATTGTTGTTAATTACGTGCCATACGCGATTTTACTGGAAATTTCTTCCATGTTGAGTTATGTGCTTTGTGTGAAGTGTTGTATTATAAATAAGATGGACTGTGATAATCAAAACTCTCGTTGGTTTAGTTTAGAGAACTCTCAACATAAAATATGCCTGGAGCTATAATAAGAAACTATATGAACGGGGTCATACGTATTCTCAATTTACACTGTAATACCACGACAAGATTGTACCGATTTCATTTATCGCAGTCCATCATTGATAAAAATGATCTTATTGAACAAAAACCAGCTTTTTCACTGATCACCAACATATCATTCTGAATTTGAGGCAAACTCGACCCACAATGAAAATTCCTTCAGAAATTAGGGATTATGGAAATTAAATATACATCGGGTCAGGCACAATCACTGTCACTGTCAAGCCTAAAATACAAATTTTCCTGATATAGTATCTTGAAGTGACAAATATCCCAAGTCAACTTGCCAAGTTTTTTGGGTGTCACACCAATAAGTGGTTCCACTCATGTTTCGCTTGCGTTTACGCAGCTATTTTGATCAAGTACTTTTTTGGTTTTTTCTCATTTTGTCATGCAACGGCCATACCACGTTGAAAAATGCCAGTTCTCGTCCGATCACTGAAGCCAAGCAACGTCGGGCGCGGTTAGTACTTGGATGGGTGACCGCTTGGGAACACCGCGTGTCGTTGTTTTTCGTTAGTCAGGGAAACTATAGATTACGCTGTAGGCGACCCCTCCCGATATAGAATGCCCCGACACTCTGTCGAATAAGGCCCCTATGTCCTCCGTTAACAGATAAATGATATCTTCATCCATCTCACCTCAGCCAGGTAGGGGTATACAGCGAAGGGCGGTATGGATGTCTGAGGACTTTCATACCACCATCAAACACCAGTCATGACACGTTTGTCTTTCTGACAAACACCAGTTAAAAGGGGAAGGGAGCCAGGCTTCAACCTGAACAAAATCAAGATGGATAACGTCTCATTTTGTCTTCAATCGAGGACCGCCTGCCCGGTACTGACGATGCCCAAAAGGCTGAAACAGCTGTATAACGGTGGCTCTTAAATTGAAATCAATATGAGAATGATCGAAGAGTGCTTATCTATTTATTTTTTGATTTTCATGGAATTATTTTCCAGCAGCTTGACTGCATTAACCTTTCTAGATTATATATATATATATATATATATATATATATATATATATATATATA